CCCAGGCGAATTACAAGACACAGACCACTAACCATGAGCAGAGGATGAACCATGAGGAATGGGAGAGGATTGACGATGGAGGCGTCATGGGTAATGAATAAAAGAAATAAGAAAACAATAGTAAGAACAATCATCATAATAATACTACTAGTAATACGAATAATAGTATTAATCAGAATAAGAATACTAATACTAATATTATTAATAATAATAATAATAATAATGATGATGATGATGATAATAATACTACTAATAATACGAATACGAATAACAGCAATAAAAATAAGGAGAAGAAGAAGAGTAAGAAAGAGGAGGAGGCAACGATATCATCACATCGGGAAATAGCTGGTCATGCTACCTGGCCGACTGTAAGACTCATCGATGCGAGGCACAGCCCAGCAACATTCGGGACCGAAGAGAAAGGGAGGACGAGGGCAACAGGAAGAGCAGGAGGAGGAGGAGGTAGGATGGAGGAGGAGGAGGAACAACGAGGAGGAGGAGGAGGAGAAGGAGGAAGAGGAGGACGAGGAGGAGGATTAGGTAGGATGGAGGAGGAGGTAGGATGTAGGAGGAGGGGGTGAGAAGGGAGTGAGAAGGGGGAGAAGAAAAAGGTAGGGCGATGTGAGTGGCAGGGAGGGAGCGAGGAAGAAGGCAGGAGGGAAGAGGAGGAGACGGAGGCTCAGCCTCGGAGGAGGGTCGGCCGAGATAATGGCGGCCTCCCTGGTGTCTTCCGACCTTTTTGGCACCTCCCCCCCCTCTCCCCCCCGCGGCCGCGGCTCCACGCCCCCCAGACCCCTGACGTCGCGATTTGTCCGCAACGTCGACCCCCAGAGGTCCAGACCCTTGGCATCGCTCGGACATGTGCATTTTTCCTTCGGCGAGGACCATCGAGGAGCATCCTTGATCATTTGGCGAAAAAACCACGCACGAAACCAACAAAAACACAGGGAATGGACGTCCGAGCGATGGCCAGGACCCCTTCCCCAGGACCGATTTTGCACCCCGAGTCGTTTTCTGGCACTCCCGAGGCCCAGGAAAGCCCCCCAGGGGCCGAAAATGGTGAAGAACCTTCGGCTCGTGATTCTCACACTGCGCGAGGGGGTCTGGACACTCCCCCCCTGCCCCATCCCCGCCGACCCGCGCCGCCCCTCCTTCGGGTCCTGCAGCATTTGGGTGCGTGCTTCTTAGAAGCTGCACCACCTGGCCTGTCCACGGCAGCTCAGTGGTGTCTTTGGCACCGCGGTCGATGCCCACGGCAAAATAACAAGGAGCAGTCCGTGGCCGCTCGAGCCGGGGGGGGGGAGGGTGGCACCGAGGAGTGGAGGAAGCTGGCGAGGGCCACGGCGAGGCGGGCATGGACGGGGAGGGGCAGGGGAGAAGGGGACGCAGAGCGGGCAGAAGACGAGGAGGGTCCGAAACGGGAAAGGGGACGGGGGGAGCGAGCGCGTCGACGCGAGACCCATCCTTCCTCCTCCTCCTCCTGTTCCTCTTCCTCCTCCTCCTCCTCCTCCTCCTCCTCCTCCTCATCATCATCATCATCATCATCATCATCGTCATCATCATCATCATCATCATCATCATCATCATCATCGTCATCGTCACCGTCATCATCATCATCATCATCATCATCATCATCATCATCATCATCATCATCATCATCATCATCATCATCGTCATCGTCATCGTCATCGTCATCGTCAACAGCACCAGCAACATCATCATCTGCAGCAGCATCATCATCCTCATTATTATCATCATCATCCTCATCATCCTCATCATCATCGTCTTCGTCATCATCACCATCCTCATCATGCTCACCATCATCGCCCTCGTCATCAACAGCAGCATCATCATGAACATCAGCATCATCAGCATCAACATCATCAGCAGCAGCAGCAGCCGCATCAGCATGCACCAGCAGCACCATCATCCTAATCATCGTCCTCATCAGCATCATGTTTATCATCGTGATCGTCACCATCATCATCACCAGCATCAGCATCACCATCAGTGTCGTCATTGTCATCATCATCATTATCATCATCATCACCATCATCATCATCATCATCATCATCAGCATCATCCGCAGCAGCAGCAGCAGCATCAACATCATCATCACCATCATCAGCATTAGCGTCATCAGCATCAGCATATCATCATCTCCATCAGCAGCACCAGTAGCATCATCATCGTCATCGTCATCAGCATCACCATCATCATCAGCATCATCATCATCATCAGCATCATCATCATCATCATCATCAATTCCACTTCTGCCGCTCCTCTTCCTCCACCCCTCTTCTCCGCCACGCACCCCAAATCCTCGTCCTTCTCCTCCTTCTCCTCCTCCTCCTCCTCCTCCTCGCCGTCCTCCTCCTCCTCCTCCTCCCTTTTCCCTTTCCTTCCCCTCCCTCCCTTTCCCCATTCTTCTTCGTCGGCCCAGGACGGCTGGCTGGTGAAGATTAAGTACACGGGTGACCTGTCGAACTTGATGGACCAGGCGACCAGCCGATAATTTCCCGTCCCAGATGTCCGCTGCGCCCTCTCCCTTCCTCGGTAGTAGAACTACAAGAAGGAGGTGCGAGGGGCAGGAGGAGGAGGAGGAGGAGGAGGAGGAGGAGGAAGAGGAGGGTGGTGGGCAAGAGGAGGGGGAGGCAGGGGCGGGCTGGTGGCGTTTCGCTTGAGGCTCGATCCAAAATAGCTGCCTCTTCGGAAAGAGCAGGGCGCAGGTTTCTCTCGTCGTGCTCGGCCTCTGGAGCCCCCTCACCGGGCCCCGTGGCTGTCAACAGAAGGACTCCGGACGAAACGCCGGTCCCGGGGAAAGGGTCGGGACTCCTTCGGGCCGCGCACGGAAAACATCCCAGACATGCGACGTCCAGATTTTTTCAGGACGCCGTCCCCGCAAGTCCCGACCCTTTCCCCGGGGCCGGTGTTTCATCCCGAGTCGTTTTTGGACGGGCCCCGCGCCCCGGCGAGAGCCCCGCGAGGCCGAAAGTCGAGAACAACCAGCCGCCCTGACTTTTCCCACGACGCGAGCATGTCTGGGTCAAGACATCGCGTGCCTGGGTGTCGGGGCGCCCTTCCGTGGGCCAGGCTCCAGCTCTCCTCCGCCGCGCGGGGCGCGGCACGTGCCGCCGCGGCGCTGCGCGTCGGCCTCGGCGGCCCCCAGCAGACTGACGCCGCCCAGGTGCGCTCGGGCCTTCTGCGCGCCCCGCCGCGGCGGAGGCCGCGGGGGGCGCCGCCCTTTTGGGTTGCGGCCGCCCTGGGCGCCTGCAGTGTCCAGCTCTTCCTCCTCCTCCTCCTCCTCCTCCTCCTCCTCCTCCTCCTCCTCCTCCCCCTCCTCCTCCTCCTCCCCCTCCTCCTTCCACTCACCGCCCACCATGCCACCCCAACCCAACCCGAAGGCCCCGATGTGCCCTCCACTTCCAGGGGGGGGGGTCGGGGAACAAGGGGAAACACACGTATGTGAAGCCCGTCCCCCCCCCAACCCGAAAGCAGGGTCTTCGGGCTGGGTTGGGGTGGTTTGGTAGGTGGTCATCCACAGCGCGGAGCACGGCCAGCCGCGGCGGCGCTGCGTCGGCCACGGCGGCCCCTGGCACTGGCGCAGCTTACGGTGGGGAAGTTTTGGACGGCGTGTCGTTCCGCCGGCTCTGGCCCACCACGCTTCGGCGCGACAAGCTGTCCATTTCCCAGCCCCCAGGCTTCAACGTCCCCATCCTTTCCGAGCCTTCCGCCCCGCAGAGCGGAGCGACACGCTATCCGCTCGCAAGGCATAGCGCGTCGCCAGGGCCGCCGCTGCGACGCGCTGAGCAACAGTTCCCGGCCGTAGCTCCGCTTGGGAGTTGCGTGCGCCCCGCCACCAGGGTGAGGTGCGGGGGGCGCCGCCGCTGAGGACCAAATGGGCCGCGATTCGACGAAATTTCGGGCGGGGCTAGGATAGGGATGACTCGTTCCAGAGCGTTCTGGAACGCTCCCAGAGCGTTGCGGAACGCTCTGGGAAGGCCGCGACGCCCGACACATCGTCCAGAGCCGTCAGATCTCAGAGATTCATGATTTGTTCCTGTCCGATGTTTTGTCCATGTCCTGGCTTCGTCTTGGGAATTCTGGGGTTGGCGCTGGACCCCCGCTGGCGTCGCTTTCGGCTGGGCGCGCTCCGCGCGCCAGTGAGGGGGGATCCGCCCCCAGACCCATGACACTGGCGCGGACCTCCAAGAAGTCATATGTGTATTCAGTCGTGGGCTTTTCCCACGGAGACTCCCTGACGCACGTCCTCATGAGTGCCGAGGCCCGTTTGCTCAGAGGCGTGTTGGGACTCCGCTTGCCGACGCGTTCGCCGAGATGCTTTCGGCACTGCCCACGCGCCGGACGTCTGGGAGGGCGCGGGCGTATGGAGGGGGAGGACGTGTCCGCGGCAGTGCAGATACCCACGCACTCTGAGGTGCCACCTAGACGGAGGCGGTGGATCCCGGAGCTCGCAGCCTGGCTGTCACCAGCCTGGAACGTATCCCTATCCCTACGATTGGCATCGCCTCATCTCGATGCCGATCTTGGGGTTTCCCTCCGCTTCTGAGGGCGCATCCCTAAGATTGTCGTCGACTTTTGGCTTGTTAATCTTAGGGGTAGGGATATGTTCGAGGCTGGTTCGGCTGTGCTTGCTTTTCGGTTGGCGGCGCCGTCCTGGCGCCCCGCGGTCGACGGCGCAGGCCGCCCGGGCGGCAGCGAGGCATCGCTGTGCACGCAGCCGGGCTGTGGCTGGCTGGTTGGTTGTTGGCGCCGTCCCGGCGCCTTACGGTTCAGTCGGGCCTGTCCTTCTACAGGAGGAATACTCAAAAATAGTAAAAACAAATAGTCTGCGGATTATTTTTCTAGCATTTTGGGAATATGTGGGGGTATTTTCTGACTATTTTTGATTCTTCGTCCAAAATCCCCTTGTAGGGGGACCTGCCCGACCTAACCTTACGGCCTTACGGCCGACAGCGCAGACCACCTGGACTTCAGCGAGGGATCCTTGCGCGCTGCCTGGGGCGGTCTGTTCGGGAGAGAAGAAGGGGCCCATCTCTCCGACGACGGTATGGCTCCAATCCCAGCGTTTTCCCGTGTTTCGCTCCGATTTCGTCCTCTGGGGCCCACCCATATCGGACCCCAAGGGCATCAAACATGGTTCCGGGACGAAAATTCAGAAAGGTCCCCGGGGAAGCGGTCGGGACCTTCGGGGCCGCGGATTAAAACATCAGATCGGAGGGTGTCAAAGAGTGCGCAGCACCGCGCCGTTGCGGATAAGAGGGAGGGGGCGGCGGGGGCGGCGGCAGTCTGCGAGGCCCCGTAGAAACCCACCGCAGGCGCCTAAACTGTACAGCTTATACAACGAGCCCGCCGCAGACGTCGGTTTCTTCGCTTCGTTGAAGCAATGTGGTGGGTCGCGGATGGGTCGCGGGTGTGTCGCGGGTGGGTCGCTGCCGGGTCGCTGCCGGGTCGCTGCCGGGTCGCGGGTGGATCGCGGGGTGGGTCGCGGGTGGGTCACGGGGGGTCGGGGGGGGGGTCGCGGGTGTGTCACGGGTGGGTCACGGGGTGGGTTGCAGGTGGGTCGCGGGTGGGTCACGGGTGGGTCGCGGGTTGGGTCGCGGGTGGAACGACGACAACAAACAACAACAACAACAACAACAACAACAACAACAACAACAACAACAACAACAACAACAACAAAAACAACAACAACAACAACAACAACAACAGCAGCAGCAGCAGCAGCAACAACAACAACAACATCAGCAACAACAACAACAGCAACAACAACAACACCAACAACAACAACACCAGCAACACAAACAACAGCAGCAACAACAACAATCATAATATCACCAGCAATCACACCAACAACACTTACAACAATAACAGCACTAACAATATTAACATCACGAATAACAACAACCGCAGCCACAACAACCACAACAATAATGTTTTGATTCATCGTTCTTGTCCGCTCGCGTGCCCCTCACCACGTATATCCCAAACCCTCGGTACCCACTGTGTTCGTCTTTGATCGTGCCCCCTTGGGGGTATATCTTCCTTACCTGACAAATGCATTTAGCGCAGCCCTTAAAACAGGGGGAGAGAGGACGGATGGAAGGGGGGTGGGGGAGAAGGATGTATGACTAGAGAAATTAGCAGGAAGGGGGGCCAGGATCAGAAAACACGTGGTAGAACCAGACTAGCAGACTAGGCGGGCAGACCCTAGCGGGCGGGTCGGGAAGGCGTGCCCAGGCGGCCAGGTCGAGCAGGCGGGTTGCTGAAGCGTGAGCATGAATCGCGAGGAAGTCTTGAGAGATAGCGCGATACCCAAGTACATACTGAGAAAGGCCAAAGCGGGAGTGTGATTCCTGAGTGTCGAGGGCGCGGCGTCAGAATACATTGCGAGGCAGTCCCACGCGAGAGCGCCGTTCCAGAAGAAATTGTGAGGACGTCCCGCGCGAGAGCGCGATGTCGGAATCAAGTTTGAGGAAGTATCAGGCGGGAGCCGTTGTCGTTGTAGTCCGGGGGGCCAGGATGCCAGTTTGACTTTCAAGGTTGTCCTTGGTTTGAGAGAACAGGTGCGAGCCCTGGGAGAGGCACATCAATGGAAAAATACCACGTGCGCGAGAGGGCGATCAACAGTCATGATGTTCCCAAAAGTGAGTTGAACAACGACAACAACAATACCAACAATAAATTTAACAACCGTCAGTCGATGATTGTTCGTTCCTACTTGCTCGCGTGCCGTTCGCCACGTATATCCCAAACCCTCGGTACCCGTCCTCTTCGTCTTCGATCGTGCCCCATTGTGGGTCTATCTTCCTTACCTGCCACGAGCAATCAGCGCAGGCCCGAAAACAGGGGGAGAGGACGGATGGAAAGGCGAGGGGCATGAATGGAACACGATAGCAGGAAACACGTGGCAGGACCAGGCGGGCAGACCCTAGCGGACGGGTCGGGAAGGCGGGCCTAGGCGGCCAGGTCTAGCAGCCGGGTTGCTGAAGCGTGAGTGCTGCATGAATCGCGACGAGTGCTCGAACGATACAGCGATACCCAAGTAAATGCGGAGGGAAGCCAAAACGAGAGTGTGATTCCTGAGTGTCGAGGGCGTGGCGTCTAAATACATTGCGAGGGCGTCCCACGCGAGAGCGCCGTTCCCGAAGAAAGTGTGAGGACGTCCCGCGCGAGAGCGCGATGTCGGAATCAAGTTTGAGGAAGTATCAGGCTGGAGCCGTTGTTGCTGTAGTTCGGGGGGGCAGCAATGCACTTTAGTGACATTTCAGGTTCCCTGATAGGAAAACCGGGTACGGGCCCCGGAAAGGGCATGTCAACTGAAACATACAATGGTTACCAGAGGGCGGGGGTCAACAATACTTTCCGTCCAGACATGAGAGTTCAATAACAACAACGCTGACACCAACCACAACAATATCAGCAACAACCAGCTTACCCGAATGTCCCACGATAGAACATGTTGCATGCATCCATCCT